AGCTTTATCTATTTTAGTGTTAACACCACCTCCTTTGGATTACAAAAGACAAGAATACCTTTATAATAATATTCATCCATTTGTGAAAGATAAATACAAAGATATTACTTGCCCAAGCCAGCATAAAATGTAATTGAATAAGTTTTATACTAAGTAAAAAAGAGTTAGATGTCATAATCAACTTTTATTTTTCCTAACCTTATTACCTTAATAACTGAAATAACTAGAAAAGAAGCAAGTGTTCTGCAACCAACCATTTTTTCTTGTTTGCTCTTGTTATGTTGATTTTCTAATTGAGCTTAGGGAGTTTTATTCCATTTTTTATAGTAAGCCTTAGGATCTCTTAGTTTTTCTGCAATTCTTTCATTCTCCATGGTGCCAACAAATTTACCATCTTTATTAAGTGGTCTTCCTTCTCCACAGTTTTTGTCTCATCATTTTTGCAGTTTGAATTTAGAAAACAACACAAAAACAATATTATATTTTTTCGCTCCCTTTTCTATATAGTTCATCTACATCAGTGAAGTTTTCTCCATAATTCTTTCTCTCATTGATTAACTTATTTTCTTTCACTATTTGTCCTCAATGTAAAATCTATCTCCATTGAGATGTTAGTGTTTATGAAGACAGTAAAAATCATGTTTGCTCATGATGTACTAATCATTAGAAAGAAATTAAAAAAGGTGAGCAAGATAAACACTTTACCTGAAAAGAAAATATTACTGCAAATTATGCTTGTGAAAGTTCAGGAAATGAAGAAGCTTGTCTTGGCTGTGACAGTGTGATTCTTCACAAAAAGAATTTATATAATTGCTATGTATCAGACTTAGGAGGAGGAGCTTTTTTACTTTTGTTAATATCTGCCCAAATAGTAAAGCTCATTGTGTGATGTCAAGCAAAGAGCATTCGTAACATGTCTATCCAACAATGAAATGAATATTGCCAATCCTTAAAGATACCATGAAAAAGGTAAACAAAGTTTATCATCCTGTGGGCTTCTGATTTACTATACCAACTGGAAAACTTGCTGGACAAGATCCCCCCTCATTTCACGGCTCATATAGTTCCAAAATACAAAGAAAGTTATGGAAATGAATGATGATCAAAATAATATAATAGAGCAACCCCTGAGCAAGTAGAAATAA